ATAATGATTAAGGGATCAATTCAACAGGAAGATATAACAATTATCAATGTATATGCACCTAACTACAGGGCACCGGTTTATCTAAAAGATTTGTTAATGGACTTAAAGGGAGACTTAGACCCCAATACAATAGTACTGGGGGACTTCAATACTCCACTCTCAGAAATAGACAGATCATCCGGACAGAAGCTCAACAAGGATACAGTAGATTTAAACGACACTATAGCCCAAATGGATCTAACAGATATATACAGAACTTTCCTACAGCTAAAGATTTTACATTCTTCTCAGCAGTACATGGAACCTTCTCTAGGATTGACCACATACTAGGCCATAAAGCAAGTCTCAGCAAATTCAAAAGAATTAGAATCACACCATGCAGCTTCTCATACCTAAAGGAATGAAGTTGGAAATTAGCAACTCAGGAATCCCTAGAGCATACGCAAACACATGGAGATTGAACAACATGCTCCTGAATGAACAATGGGTCATAGAAGAAATCAAAAGAGAAATCAAAAACTTTCTGGAAGTAAATGAGGATAACAGCACAACATACCAAAACTTATGGGACACAGCAAAAGCAGTGTTAAGAGGAAAGTTTATATCAATAGGTGCCTACATCAAGAAATTGGAAAGACACCAAATAGATGAGCTTTCAATTCACCTCAAGGATCTAGAAAACCTACAGAAAACCAGACCCAAATCTAGTAGGAGAAGAGAAATAATTAAAATCAGAGAAGAAATCAACAGGATTGAATCAAGAAAAACATTACAAAAAATCAGCCAAACGAAGAGCTGGTTCTTTGAAAAAATAAACAAAATTGACACCCCATTGGCCCAACTAACTAAAAAAAGAAGAGAAAAGACCCAAATCAATAAAATCAGAGATGAAAAAGGAAATGTAACAACAGACACCACAGAAATAAAAAGAATCATCAGAAATTACTACAAGGACTTGTATGCCAGCAAACAGGGAAACCTATCAGAAATGGATAGATTCCTGGACACATGCAACCTGCCTAAATTGAACCAGGAAGACATCGAAAACCTAAACAGACCCATAACTGAGACAGAAATTGAAACAGTAATAAAGGCCCTCCCAACAAAGAAAAGCCCAGGACCAGATGGATTCACTGCTGAATTCTACCAGACGTTTAAAGAAGAACTAACTCCAATTCTTCTCAAACTATTCAGAACAATCGAAGAAGAGGGAGTCCTCCCAAATTCTTTCTATGAAGCCAGCATCACCTTAATTCCTAAGCCAGAGAAAGATGCAGCACTGAAAGAGAATTACAGACCAATATCCCTGATGAACATAGATGCAAAAATCCTCAATAAAATTCTCGCCAATAGAATGCAACAACACATCAGAAAGATCATCCACCCAGACCAAGTGGGATTTATCCCTGGTATGCAGGGATGGTTTAATGTGCGCAAGACAATCAATGTGATACACCACATTAACAGACTGCAGAAGAAAAACCATATGATTATCTCAATAGATGCTGAGAAAGCATTTGATAAAATACAACACCCGTTCATGATGAAAACTCTAAGCAAACTGGGTTTGGAAGGAACATTCCTCAATACAATCAAAGCAATCTATGAAAAACCCACAGCCAACATCCTATTGAATGGGGAAAAGTTGGAAGCATTTCCACTGAGATCTGGTACCAGTCAGGGATGCCCACTCTCACCACTGCTATTCAATATAGTTCTGGAGGTTCTAGCCAGAGCTATTAGGCAAGAAAAAGAAATTAAAGGGATACAAATTGGGAAGGAAGAACTCAAACTATCCCTCTTTGCAGATGACTTGATTCTGTATTTAGGGGACCCAAAGAACTCTACTAAGAGACTATTGGAACTCATAGAAGAGTTTGGCAAAGTAGCAGGGTATAAAATCAATGCACAAAAATCAACAGCCTTTGTATACACAGACAATGCCATGGCTGAGGAAGAACTTCTAAGATCAATCCCATTCACAATAGCTACAAAAACAATCAAATACCTTGGAATAAACTTAACCAAAGACGTTAAAGATCTCTACGATGAAAATTACAAAACCTTAAAGAAAGAAATAGAAGAGGACACCAAGAAATGGAAAAATCTTCCATGCTCATGGATTGGAAGAATCAATATCATCAAAATGTCCATTCTCCCAAAAGCAATTTACAGATTCAATGCAATACCAATCAAGATACCGAAGACCTTCTTCTCAGATCTGGAAAAAATGGTGCTGAAATTTATATGGAGGCACAAGAGACCTCTAATAGCTAAAGCAATCTTGTACAACAAAAACAAAGCCGGAGGCATCACAATACCAGATTTCAGGACATACTACAGGGCAGTTGTAATCAAAACAGCATGGTACTGGTACAGAAACAGATGGATAGACCAATGGAACAGAATGGAAACACCAGAAATCAACCCAAACATCTACAGCCAACTTATATTTGATCAAGGATCTAAAACTAATTCCTGGAGCAAGGACAGTCTATTCAATAAATGGTGCTGGGAAAATTGGATTTCCACGTGCAGAATCATGAAGCAAGACCCCTACCTTATGCCTTACACAAAAATCCACTCAACATGGATTAAAGACCTAAATCTACGACCTGACACCATCAAGTTACTAGAGAACATTGGAGAAACCCTTCAAGATATTGCCACAGGCAAAGAGTTTCTGGAAAAGACCCAGGAGGCACAGGCAGTCAAACCCAAAATTAACTATTGGGATTGCATCAAATTGAGAAGTTTCTGTACTTAAAAAGAAACAGTCAGGAGAGTGAAGAGACAACCGACAGAATGGGAAAAAATATTTGCAAACTATGCAACAGATAAAGGGTTAATAACCAGAATCTACAAAGAGATCAAGAAACTCCACAAAAACAAAACCAACAACCCAATTAAGAGATGGGCCAAGGACCTCAATAGACATTTTTCAAAAGAGGAAATCCAAATGGCCAACAGGCACATGAAAAAATGTTCAAGGTCATTAGCAATCAGGGAAATGCAAATCAAAACCACAATGAGGTTTCACCTCACCCCGGTTAGAATGGCTCACATGCAGAAATCTACCAACAACAGATGCTGGCGAGGATGTGGGGAAAAAGGGACACTAACCCACTGTTGGTGGGAATGGAAACTGGTCAAGCCACTATGGAAGTCAGTCTGGAGATTCCTCAGAAACCTGAAGATAACCCTACCATTCGACCCAGCCATCCCACTCCTTGGAATTTACCCAAAGGAATTTAAATTGGCAAACAAAAAAGCGGTCTGCACCCTAATGTTTATTGCAGCTCAATTCATAATAGCTAAGACCTGGAACCGACCTAAATGCCCATCAACGGTAGACTGGGTAAAGAAATTATGGGATATGTACTCTTTAGAATACTATACCGCAGTAAGAAACAACGAAATCCAGTCATTTGCAACAAAATGGAGGAATCTGGAACACATGCTGAGTGAAATAAGCCAGTCCCAAAGGGACAAATACCATATGTTCTCCCTAATCGGTGACAACTGACTGAACACCAAAAAGGAAACCTGTTGAAGTGAAATGGACACTATGAGAAACGGTGACTTGATCAGCATAGCCCTGACTGTTAATGAACAACTTAATACATTATCCCTCTTAGTAGTTTTTTTGTCTGTCTACTTAATATGACTGGTTTAATTCTGTAATTAATACACAGTTATTCTTAAGTGTTGAAATTTAACTGAAATGTGATCCCTGTTAAACATAAGAGTGGGAATAAGAGAGGGAAGAGATGTATAATTTGGGACATGCTCAAGCTGACTTGCCCCAAATGGTAGAGTTAGAAACATACCAGGGGACTCCAATTCAATCCCATCAAGGTGGCATGTACCAATGCCATCTCACTAGTCCAAGTGATAAATTTCAGTTCACAATTGATCATAATGAAAGGACTAAGAGTCAAAGGAAGCACATAAACAAGTCTAGTACCTGCTAACACTAACCGATGGAATAAATAAAGGGGAGAGTGATCCAACATGGGAAGTGAGATACTCAGCAGACTCATAGAATGGCAGATGTCCTAAATAGCACTCTGGCCTCAGAATCAGCCCTAAAGGCATTAGGATCTGGCTGAAAAGCCCATGAGAGTATTTCAGGCATGGAAAGCCAAGACACTCTGGCAAAAGATCTCTGCGAGTGAGATCCCAGTGGAAAGAACAGGTCATCAAAGAAGGAGGTACCTTTCTCTGAAGGGAGGAGAGAACCTCCACTTTGACTATGACCTTGTCTAAACAAGATAAGAATCGGAGAACTCAGAGGGCTTCCATAGATTTGGAAACTCATGACTGGAGCATAGGGAGACTACTGATGCCATAGATAGGAGTGTCAATTGGTAAAGTCAACAACAGGAGTCACTGTGCACTTACTCCTCATGTAGGATCTCTGTCCTTAATGTGCTGTGTATTGAGATTTAATGCTATAACGAGTACTCAAACAGTATATTTCACTTTGTGTTTCTATGGGGGTGCAAACTGTTGAAATCTTTACTTAATGTATACTAAACTGATCCTCTGTAAAAAAAAAAAAAAAAATTATCAACTCCCAACTTGACTCTCACTGGGATTAAACATGACAATAGGTCTGATCTGATTTCATCATCATTTAAAAAAAATTATCTATTATTTTTCACTTTATGTTTCTGTGTGGGAGCAAACTGTTGAAATCCTTACTTAATGTATACTAAGCTGATCTTCTGTATATTAAGATAATTGAAAATGAATCTTGATGCGAATGGAAGGGGAGAGGGAGTGGGAAAGGGGAGGGTAGTGGGTGGGAGGGCCGGTATGTGGGGGAAGCCATTGTAATCCATAAATCGTACTTTGGAAATTTATATTCATTAAATAAAAGTTAAAAAAAAAAGAAAAAAAAAAGAAAACAAGAATTATAAAAAAAAATTTCAAAGAGGAAAAAAAAAAAAAAAGAAATTGGAAATTTTAACTTTATCCAGAGAAGATATTCTTAACAGTTTTTAGTGGCATCATAACATTCTGGATAAAAGAATTAGTTAAAAATCCTGCATCTATTTTCCTCAAAACTGGAAAAATTGTAAGTCATGGACATAGGTTAGGGGCCTACTCACACCTTTTCAGTATTCACAGGGACTATCTTGTCCATCGGGGACATACAAACCTTAAAATAAGAGGTTTCAAACAAGAAACTCAGAAGACAAATCCAACTTGCAGAGATTTTTGGTGTGTAGTACTGTTTTTAATTTTTTAAAAATTTACTCCAACTTGCAATTTTAAACATGGTGAATCTGGGGAACTAGAATTGTTTATTTTTAATTTGCATGTTGGTTATGAATGTGATCAGATGATTAAAACTCCATTCATCTATACCTTTATGTGTAATTCTTTGTGTAAATATTATATTTCAATAAAACGCTGTTTTTAAAAAAAGAAAAAAGTAATTTCAGGTAGAAATATAGATTTCCAACTTTTTTTGAAAACCTGTATCGCTGGTAAGACTGAACCCACAAAACTTCATAACAGTCATTAGCTGAGTTTAAATAAGGGCTATCCACTAGAGTTGGGCGAGCGCTCATTGTTTGTCCAATGGCTCCTTTCCACAAACTTGTGCAGCTTTCCTGAACTCTCAAAGCATTCTTGTTTTTCACTGTTGGCCTAAAATCATATAAAAATCAATGTACATGATTGTGTACATATAAATGTTTTCTATTTGTATTCATTAGCAAAGAATAAAATCATGGTAACTACAGATGTGTGACATAGGCAAATAGGCTACCTCTCCGTTTTATAATATACATATGCTCGGGCTTCTTTGCCACTAGACTGTTGACAGTAGAAACATGTGTTTTCCTGTTCATGTCATGTTTTGGTGCCACGAATTAAATCAGCAAGTAAAAGGAAACTAACATGTTGGACCTAACGAAATGGAACATGGATATATCCATTAACAAAATCATTTAAAAATAGTTATTGACTATTACTCAGTATTCATTATGCCATTGGATTTTAGCACAAAGATTCAAATCCCTGCCTGCAAAGAACTTGATGTCTAGAGTTTGTGTTTAGGGAGAAAGAGAAGAAAAAAGATAATAAATAATTTAAAATATAACAGGTCAAGAAAATACAGAGGAATAAGGAAATTATATTCAATATAATTCAAAATAACAAAGTCAAATAATGAGATTGACCTTTGAGTGTTGATAAAGATGCCAACTTAGCCACTAATGTCTCTTATTAGAGTACCTAGCTTTGAGTCCTGACTCTGCTCCTTATTCAAGCTTCCTTATACTATCAGCCATTCTGGAAATTTGGAAATGAACAAGCAAACGATGTCTCTTTTTCTTTCTCTATTTATGTCTCTCTTTCTCTGTCTCTCTACTATTCAAATAAATAAATAAATAAATAAATGAAATATTTCTCAAAAATAAGATAAGGAGGACAGGAAAAGCCTCATTAAGAATATAGTCGTAGGTTAATCCTCCGCCTGTGGCACTAGCATCCCATATGGGCCCCCGGTTCTAGTCCCAGTTGCTCCTCTTCCAGTCCAGTTTTCTACTGTGGCCTGGGAAGGCAGTGGAAGATGGCCCAGGTGCTTGGACCCCTGCACCCAAATGGGAGACCAAGAAGAAGCACCTGGCTCCTAGCTTCGGATAGGCGCAGCTCTGGCAGTTGCGGCCATTTGGGGAGTGAGCCAACAGAGGGAGGGCATTTCTTTCTGTCTCTCCCTCTCCCTGTCTATAACTCTAACTCTCAAATAAAATAAATAAATAAAATCTTTAAAAAAAATGTAACACTTCAAGGAGATAAAAAACAAGCAATGCAAACATCTTGTGAAAGAATCTTGCAAACAGAAAGTAAAACAAAGCCAAACATTTGAGGCAATGGAGCCTATCCAGTGCATTCAAGGGTTGGAAAGGATGGATGAATGAACAAGAGGAAGAAGAGCAGTAGATAAGACAAGGGAAGTTGTGGAAGGGAGAATCATGTAGGCCCATACCTGTCATTTTAAGTACTTTGGCTGCACTGTGAAGGGGCTGGAAGCCAAGAACTTTCTAGAGAGGAGATATGATATCACCAGATATCAAATTTTAAAGAAAACTTTTCAGCTGGTGTGTTGAATTAGACCATAGGAGGAAAAGGGGGGGAACAGGAAAATTACTTCAAGAGAATATCCTGGCAAATCAGAATGCTGGCTTGTACCAAAATAAATTTGCTGGAGTCTTCAGATATGGAATATATTTTAAGTTAGGATTTGCTAGTGATTTGTGTCATAAAAGAGAAAAAGGAATAAAAGATGACTATATTTCTTTGACCTGAGAAACAGGCTAAAGTTGCCATTTATTAAGATGAAGAGAACTGAAAAAATTCCACCGGGGTAGGACATATTATTTATGCTTCTCTGGAGAAATGTGTATATATATACCAATTCTATATGTATATATATAATAAGATACAATTGTAAAGACTATAAATCTATAAATTCTACAATCTGCTATATGAAAGCTGGAAACCAAGAGGAGCTGATAGTGAACTTGAAGGCCTCAAAACCATGGTGACAGTTGTGCGGATTCCAGGCTTGATCTGAAGAATAAGAACCACAAGTGTTTAGGCAGAAATCAGATGTCTCAGTGCACACAGTCAGACAGGTAGCCAATGTAAACTTCCTCCACCTTTTCCTTTTGTTTAAACCCTCAGAAGATTGAATGCTATCTATGCACACCCTGAAAAGCCATCTTCTTAACTCAGTCCACCAATTCAAATGCTAATGCCTTCCAGAAACATTCTCCTAGAAACAACCAGAAATAATGTTTAGCCAGCTATGAAATTAATCATCACAGGGAGTTAAATCAGTAATGTAACTTAGGCTATATAAACTTGCAGATGGTTGCTAGATAATCAAATAGAATAAAAATAAATTTAAAGACTCTATTGTATGAAGATGGTAATTACAATCAGGTGACTGTGTAACAAAGAGCAGGGTTTTGAGGACTGCATACTCTTAATTTAGAATAGCTACATGTGGAGTTGAGGAAATAAGTAAGAATAAGTAGACGAGCAGCCAGGGAGGTTAGAGTAACCAGAAGAATGTAGTGTTTCAGAATGGGAGAAACTGTAAATGTTTATAAACGGATTAGTATAATCTAATTCGAAGGAAGATATATTTGCCTCCTCACATAGGGCACCAAAATGTTAGAAAAAGAGATGCAGAATAGAGAGGAGGCATTGTACGAATTTACAGCCAGACTGAATTTATTCAGAGAAAATAAATTCATAGGGGTAGGTAACCAACTGCCACATGCACCTTGACAGAACACATGGCAGAAAGTCCTGACCTCCAGGGACCTGGCCTTTTTATATTTTAGGAGGCTAGGGATGGGGGTGGGACAGGGAGCAGGGGGCAGCAGGCAGAGGGGAATTCCTGGAACTGGTCTTTCAAGTGTTCCCAGAGACTGGTCTTTTAGGTGGCTGTGGGGGTGGGGTATGAAGGCAATAAGGTGTGAAACTTTGAGATTCAAGGGCAAGGAATACATTCCAGTTTATCTCCTTTGGGCAAAGGGCAAGAATGGCTGAGGCTTATGTCCTTGTTCCATCAGATCAGGTGCACAAATCAAAGTTTTACCTTTACTACATACATGATTCAACCAGGGAGGGTGAAACGCCTGACATATGGGTGCTCACACAGGTGTGTATATATATATATATATATATATGATGAAAACTTGAAACATCGTCTTCTGATTGACTATTTTCTGTGTATTGAAATGGGGAAATCAGTTAAGAATGAGGATAAAAGAACCAGAAGTCTAAAAATGATGAAAATGTATTAAAATTGGTCAATAAGAGTGAACCATTGCAGTGGAACTGGATGGCTCAGTCACATTAAGAAACCACTCACGATTAGAAAGATTCCACTAAATTAAAGAGATACTAGATAGCCCGAGCTCATAGAAATAATATTTTAAAAGTTTCTGGAAAATTTGTATTTGAAATAAATTATGCATGATTTCAAAAATGTTTGTGCCAAAATAAACTTTAATTTTCATTCTGCGTTTCCACACCTTCATGCATTGCTTTACTTGCATTTAAGGTGTAGAGATACAGACACTACAGGTGGAAAGATACATCCAGCCAGCTTTGAAAGGTTGCCATGAGACTAAATTAAAAAAACCCATGATAAAATGCGACAGATAATAAAGTAGAGACTCTGTAAAGCAGAAAATTAATGCCAAGTGACGGAACATAACCTGGGTGAGGAAGCATCTATGGACATGGGTGGGTGGTGAAGAAGGGTGAACAATGGCAGAATTTGTAAGTTATATCAAGGTGCTCAAACATTTGCTGAATTGGAGGCTACCAGAAAAACTAAAATGGAATAATATGAAAAGATGCTTGGAATATGAGATGCTTGAAATTAAGGCCACAACAATGTTAATTTTAGCACTGATCTAATCTAGGTTATGGCCACAGAAGTGAATGGATATGGAAGAATAAAGAATACAATCATTGGAGATGAGTTAAATAAAGAAGTTTGAGATCAAGTTATTGAAATATTCATCTAAGCAGAAACTGAAGTCACTAGAGACCACAACAGAGTAGGGCAGATATTGGTGGATAACTATAAAAAAGAATAGAGGGACCAGCATTGTGGTGTAGTGGGTAAATACACTGCCTGCAATGCCGGCATCCCATTATGGGTGTGAGTTAGTGTCATGGCTGCTCTGCTTTCAATCCAGCAACCTGCTAATGGCCTAGGAAAAGCAAAGCAGTGGAAGATGGCCCAAGTGTTTGGGCCCTTACCACTCATGTGGGAGACCTGGATGAAGTTTCTGGCTCCTGGCTTTGGCTTGGCCCAGCTCTGGCCATTGCAGCCGTCTGGAGAGTGACTCAATAGATGGAAGATCTCTGTCTTTCATTCTCTCTCCATAACTCTGACTTTCTAATAAATAAACAAATCTTTAAAAAATAAATCACAAATTGTGGTTCATGGTATGATTACACACTATTTAAACTGAGGAATTATAAGGAGGAAAGATGCCAGAGTTAGTTATAATGAGCGAAGGCATAATTTTTTCCCAAAGCAAATCATATAAATAGTATGGGAAAGAAAACAACCACCACTTTAGAGGACAACAGAGGAAAAAGGAAGCAGGGAAAAGAAAAAAAAGTACTTAGTAAAGAGAATGAAGATATAAGAAATATAAACTCTTAATATAACACATATAATCTTATAAATAACTGAATTCTGGGAGGCTGGGTGAAAGTTAGGTAAGAGTGGGATGAAGTGAGACAAAGAGAATCAGATGAGGTTGATAGCACAAGTGATGACATCAGAGTGTGACAACAGAGATGAATGGGAAAATGGATCAGTCTACAGTGGTCTGAGTCTTGGGTCAAGGGAGAGTGAGGTACTAAACAGAGGAAAAAATTTAAGGTAGCAATTTAAAAAAAAACATGATGAATAAATTATAAGAATTTTGAGTAAAAACAGGATTAGAGTTATTGATTTTTTAAAAGATTTATTTATTTATTTGAAAGAGTTACACAGAGAGAAGAGAGAGAGAGAGAGAGAGAGAGAGGTCTTCCATCCTATGGTTCACTCCCTAATTGGCTGCAATGGCTGAAGCCAGGAGCCAGGAGCTTATTCCAGGTCTCACACGTGGATGCAGGGGCCTAAGGACTTGGGCCATCTTCTACTGCTTTCCCAGGCCATAGCAGAGAGCTGGATTGGAAGTGGAACAGCCAGGATTCGAAATGGCACCCATATGGGATGCCACTTCAGGCCAGGGCATTAACCCACTGAGCCACAGCACCGGCTCCAGAGTTACTGATTTTTATTCCCTTTGTCTCAGGCTCCAATGTGCCTAGGTTTGATGGTATTATTAATTCATTGATATTTGCAATGATTTTAAATTTTTATAAATACTATATTAAAATAACATTTTCTTGTTACTGAGATTTATTAGTGCCTCCCTAATTTTAAACCCCAAAGACAGAGCCTCACTGGCCAGCTCCCGCTCCTTCCCAGACTAGGAAATTGTGCTGAAGGGCTGTGAATGCCTTATAAATAGGAGAAAACAGAGCATGCTGGTCCTGCAGTTCTGTCTTCATTCCGACCAAATATGATATGGTGGTCTTACCTGGAATCTTCAGAACTGCCTCTTGACTCCAGACAATGATAGATGGGAAACCAAGAGAGAATCCATCCCCCCACAACTGAAATCTCTCTTTTTTAGCAATCAAGGATCTGAGATTTGGCTGCAGAGGACTGAAAATGTGCCCTGAGAAATCCCTGCTTGGTTGTCTGCTGGAGTAAGAAGGAAAAGAACATAGGGTGATGGCCCAAGTCTGTGCCTCTGTTTCTTAGATCTAAGTCATTGCTCATAAGGGGGACTCTGAGAGTTATCAGGATAATATAATTGCAAATGTGTCCATCTCAAACTTAAATTGTAAATGTGTCCATCTCAAACTTAAATTGTCCAAAATTAAGTCTCCTGATTTCCCAACTCCAAACTAAAATCCAATTCCTGCTGTCTTTCTCATCTCAATACACGGCAGGTCCATGTTCAAGTTCCTTAGGATACATTCTTTCCACAACTGTTTCGGTAGTGGCCATTATGGTGACTATGACATAATAGATAATAACTGAGTGCAGTATGCATTATAAGCAAAGGTAATGTATGGCTCTATGGCACATGATTAAGGCATTAATAATTTCATTGGAAAGCTTAAAATTCAGTAGGGTTGACAAGAAAAGGCATACTCCGGTTTCTATCCCCTCTGTGCTGACAGATTTAAAAAATTAGAAAAAATGGGAACACAGTAAAATAGAGTTTAAAGAAAATGAAACTAAAAGTATACCAAGTTTCATTTTAAAGAAAATCAAACTAGTAGTATACTACAAGTACCAAAAGGTCTAGAAGCTTTTTTAGAGACAAGTGGCAAATTTGATTCTGAGCTTCTTGGTAGTCAGTTTAAAGTGGAAAACATATACAAATTCCCAGTTTATAGTTCTCAGAATAATTTTAAAGTATTTATGCATAATAATAAGAACTCATTCTTCAAATAAAGAAAAATTGCTCTTGACAGTGAGGCCTGGGGGAACTTCTTCCTGTGGGACCTCATAAAGGAGAAAACTCAACTGTAATAAATCAGATTCTCAGCAGCATTCCTGAAGCACATTTAGCACTGTCTCTCCAAGATGTATTCCTGGAAGTCCCTCAATGAAGGAAAATGGCTCTCTACAAATTATAATGCAATGAAAACCAAAATATTATGTCCTAAGAACACAATGCAGTAATATTCTAAACCAAACCAAAATTGAATTTTAAAGTAGTTGTAATAACAATTGCTTTCTCCTTTTAGGGATTCATAAAAACATTGTTTAAACTCAATGCTTTACAAATAAATTGACTATGAAAAAAATTTGAACTCCTGGTTCACTCTTGAGATATGCTATGATTCAAGAAACCTGGTTTGGAAAAAACAATGTTTCCTAAATCAGAGAAGAGAGTGAAAGCAAAACAAAGAATTCTTCAAATAACCTTCCACAATCAATCTTAATTTCCTAGATAATCTTCACAAAAGTTGTCTCAGAGCCAATCTTCTGATAAATAGTTGGTATCAAAAAATCATAAGTATACTCTGAAAAAGAATATAAATTATCATGTTCTGTGTTATTAGTTTATTGGAGATGTTTTTTATTTGCTTACTGTGTTAGCAATGCTGATAAGGCTCACAGCCTCTTATGACCAGTTGAATAACATAACCAGAACTCGTGCATACAGAAATTGTTACTTCAATTCCCTGTCATATTTATCATAATATAGTGCAATGAATTAGAAGAGCCATCTTCAAGGCTGAAACACATCCAACAAAAAGCCTATTTTTAAAAAAAAGTGTTCACTTCTATAGAAATATCCAGGTCTGTGGTTGATAGAAGTCTTCATAAATACACTGATCTCTTTCAGAGGTTGGTTGTTTTTAATTTTCTAAAATTTAAAATTAACAAGGTCTTCATACACTTAGTTGGTTACAAGGGAATATTCAACAGTTAAGCAAACAAGGAAACTAGTCAAATAACTCAAAAATCCGAAGCTTCTCATAGTTTCATCTCATAGTTGACAGCTAGGCAGCAAGTGACAACCGCTACTCATCAAAGACTAAAAAGGAACACTTACTTCATTCACTTTTATGTCCATATGACAGGTTAGGTGACTGTGACATAGATATTATGAATGAGGTGGGAATAGTTCATGGTCTATTCACTGAAAAATCAATGAAGTGAGAGCAGAAAAGTCAGTACTTCCCTTTGTGCACCTGTTCCTCCCAGACACAAAATTAAACATTTAACAGCATTAACCTATCCTTCCTGCCTCAGTCATTACTGCCTATTTCAGCTATTTCCACCTCCTACGCCACTGCTTCAAAAAAACAAACAGATCTTTTCTTTCATCCCATCCAGACTCCCTTGGGTATTTTCAAATTGTGTCATGTGGCTGAAACTGCCATTAGGCAACTACAGCCACTATAATCTTCAGAAAATCCATGTTGAGAATGCAAGGAAAATTGGTATTTTGCATATTATGGCAATTTAGAAAGGCTGTGATTTGTGTAAGCAATTAATGCTCTGAGCTAAATATTCAGGACCCTAAAGACAATGGGAGAGTTACTGAAATGACATTCAACATGTTTTAAAAATTTTTGGTTTCTACTCAATGTGCCAAAACAGTCATTTAAAAGTACTTGCTAAAAGTAAAGTATTTGAAGCGAAGACTAGTTCTCATCAAATCATTTTTTGGATTTTACCAAAATTAGCAAAATGCCTTCTGACTCGTGTGCTTTATGAAAATCCCCAGTGTGCCAAAGAGGTATTTTAGAAGAACTTGCAAACATACTGTCTAGGCCCCATGGACCCTCATCCCCAACTACACCCCCACAGGTCACAATGTCTAACCTCCATGTGTGGGTCTTAGGGCAGTGATTATTCTTGTAATTAGAGCTATCCTTTCTGTCATTATGACCCAGTCTCCTTTGTTTTCCTACTTATTAATAAGTTAAGAGACCCTCTCTTCAGAAGCCTTCACTCAGAGCAATGAAAAGTATTTTTCAATAGTGTCCCTAACCATCCTGTGGGTTGGTTTCCATTTTTTTAATATATAGTATACATACGTTTACTCATTTTGAGCCAATAATACATTTTGACACTTAAGAGTAAGGATACAATAGCTATTAAATCATACATGGTTTCCTCAGAGTCCTCTAATTTTCTCATAATGGTGCTTCTAGATTGATAGGTTTAATGGAAGGGTTAAGACAAGAGTCAGAAGAGTACCTTATCTCTTCACCAGCTACTTTTCCTCTTATCAATCAACAGATCATACTGGCAATGTGGCAAATGAAAATACACACACACACACACACACACACACATGTTCTCCACTGTATAACTGGACTAACAATGCAGGTCCTGGATATGGGAATGTTAACAATGCCAAAGAGTCAGCTGAATCACAAAAGAAAGGTTTACAAACAATAGGAAATATTAGAGGCCAATCTAGTCATGGCCTAGGACCATTTATATAATAAGTTCATTATTTTGTACCTTAATTATACAGGCATCTAAAAATCAAAATTTCTCCTTTTTAGCATCATTAGGCATAATTTCTTTTCTGTTCTTTCTTCTATACCCGACGGTATTCCCAGAGCAATTGCTTATATGAGTCTACCATAATATTTGCTAATTCTGTTTTTTTTTAGTATGACTTCCTAGTTGACAGTCTATCATAAATGAAAGGGATAACATTAAGTTTAATTTAAATCCTCCAAAGATTCAAGGTGCCATGGGCAGGGTAGAAGTACAATAATTCTGGAATGGTCTGGTTCAGTACTTAGATAAGCAAGATTATTTCAAGCTTATGTCTTTAGCATAAGTGAGAGTAACTGCTAATAATTCCTTTTAAATCAATATTTATTATAAAAGGAAATGCATGCATCTTACTTGATTAAATTTTCAGACAAAGTCTTTAGAAATATCCCCAAACTTATAAAAACATCTTAAAAATAACCAGAGCCTTAGATAACAATACACATATGAGGTAATTTCACACAGAAATAGTCATAATGGAACTGAAAATTTAAATTTCTTTTCCCTAGAAGAGTTTGTTTACTTACAACTGGTTCTTATTTGGAACTATTAGTCATGAGAAGAGTAATAGAAATACAAATTGTATGGCAGTGGGGTTAGCAGAGGCAATTCATTCTTAAAAAAAAACCAATATAACCCAGGTACCCACTAACTTAAACTATAACCATTTTATGTAGTTAAAATGTTCATGTGGCATAGATCCAGGAATCAAACATTATATCTACATTTCTTGCTTATCAGCAAGAAACAATAACAATTAAAGGATGTGCTCAGCATTTTACATGGCAGATATTTCCAAATTTATGAACATAAAATAATGATCTCCCTTTGGGGAAAGATTATACTTTGCTATTGTGGCAATAATAAATCAGTGGTGAATATCAGAATGAGAGAAAACCTTTCTAATAGTTCAAGATTAGTTTTCCAACAATTTCTATTTTGCTGGAAGGAGCACAGCATGTGAAAATACATTGAAGTGGAACCTAATCATCTGTGAGAATGAAAACACTGATGATGAGGGAAGTAGAAAAATTCACCCTTATTCCAAGAGGTTGCTCGGTTAGGACCTATTCTATGAGGATGCCAAGGGCAGATGTAAAACAGTCTTCATAGTCTTCATGAAGCAGGAGCTTCAGAAAGGGAGCTGACACTCTTCATGGAGGCTCTCTCATCACGCCAATGTGGCACACATTCACATTTCTCTAAGCAATATTGAAACCTTGGCCTGAATATGGAGGAGATTAGAATTATTAAGAAAAATACATACTCTGTGCACAGAGTTAATTTGAAAGGGACATTAAAAAAAGAAATTGACCCAATAAAAAGGGAAAATGAACACATGAGGTGGCAGACATGCATCCATTGAGAAGTACCTTTCTTATCTTCAAAATGAGCTTGACCAAAAGCCCACAACTATAGAAAAAGCCCAGACAGGGATTTCCTCCTTGACTCCTGTAGTCTTGACCTTGCAAGGGTGTGCCTGGTGACCCATGAGAACAGTGGATTCAAAAGTCTAAAGAAATCACTATGGGAAAAATAGTTCTTCCATTCACAGATGCCTGTAAGTTCATTTTCCTCCTTCTCAACAACCTCCCTACAAAATTTGGGGCCAAGAGCAATTAGTTCCATTCATTTATCCTCTAACAAGGAAGCAACATCCTCAAAGTAGAGGGCAGATGCACTTCTTGGTCCTTTTATCTTTTCTATTTCTGTTAAAGCCTGAGTTCTTGCTTCTAAGTTTCTACTGATAGGCTCAGCTCCAAAAGCTGATTTCTTTAAGGTATTTGGAAGACTTCTTTCCTTTAATACTTCATTTTTAAGAGTCATTTCAAAAGCAAGAGAATGAAAAGTCAAAAACAGCAGGAATAAGACTGTTATTCCACTAGCTGGAGATATCTCCCTGAGAAACACAGACATGGATGATTCCATGTGTTACAACAGAAGAAAAGAGTAGGCTCTTTCTTCTTGCCCCTTACTTTCATGACATGACATTGCAGATGTAAGTGAATCCACTCACCCAATCAAATTGACACTGATTCTTCTCCTCCTATTAATTCTGCAAGCCTCAAATGGTTCTTTTTCAAGGTGGTCTATCCTACAGAACCCAGATCCAGTATACATATGGAGGCTGTAAGAAATCTATAAAGAATGAGAATAGGATACATAATATAATTGCCAAAGCTATAGCAAGGATCTAGAAACTCAACCCAGGTTCTCCTGTGGGTAGCAACAACCCAATTACCTGAGCCAACACCTGCTGCCTCTTGGTACACATTGGCAGAAAGCTGGAATCAGGAATGGCAGCTGAATTCAGACCCAGGCAGTTGGAAATAGAATGTAGGTGTCCCAACTAGTATCTCAACTGCTATACCAAACGCCTACCCCTATTTCCTGCATTTTAGAAAATGTTCCCCAACCCACACATAAACGCCAACCAACATGAACAAAATTCACATGTAGATGTCCATCAATAGTTTATCAAGCTGTAATATCTTCACTGAAAATGACAGATTCTGCATATGGCAAAAGTAAACCTAAGAGGATGGCAGATGCTTTTGCTTTACATGAGGAAAGGCAGAATACGGGACAGAGGAATTAGTACCACAGCAGAACATGGTGATAATTGACTCCACACAAGGAACAATTAGGTGTTCATATTGCTACCATGTGGCAGACATTATTCACTGTCCAAGTTCCTCCTTTTTTTATTCTAACTGAGCAAAATTTCATTCACTTTCCTCTAAATGACCTTATTTTTAAGGAACTGCTTCCCACAGTTACTGGGGGACATCAGTCTGTTGATTAATCCAAGTCTGTTGGCTAGGTTGCTTTCCCCTTTTGGAGACAGATTCAGGCATGAGCATAGGCTACAGTTGTGTGATATTTTTTTCTCCTTTTCACAGCCTCTTTTTTTAAAAGATTTTTTATTTATTTATTTGAAAGTCAGAGTTACACAGACAGAAGAGAGGCAGAGTGAGAGAGAGAGGTCTCCCATCTGATGGTTCACTACCCAATTGGCCGCAACGGCCGGAGCTGCGCTGATCCGAAGCCAGGAGCCAGGAGCTTCTTCCGGGTCTCCCATGAGGGCACAGGGGCCCAAGGACTTCGGGCATCCTCTACTGTTTTCCCAGGCCACAGCAGAGAGCCCGATCAGAAGTGGAGCAGCTGGGTCTCGAACTGGCACCCATATGGGATGCCAGCACTGCAGTCCAGGGCATTAACCCACTGCGCCACAGCGCTGGCCCCTCCACAGCCTCTTGACACTGAGTTCTGATTGATGCCTGGGAATTTGATAGCTAGGGAAGGTTTGTAGGAAATGGTGCATTGGAATTAAAATGTGTGATATACTCCCTATGAAACATTTCCAGAAAAAAAAAAAAACTTCTAGTACTTCAATAATTAATAGCAACAAAAGGAAGAAAGCATATTTCTATTTGTAACCATGGGAGGAAGAGAGAGGGAACAGATGCCACCTCTAATACGTCTCTCACTTTGGCTGCAATTTACTTACCTGCATCATTGGCAATTTTCTCAGTGTAAATCAGAGATACAAAGAAAAGTAATTTTTCAGTAACCAATTTCACTTCAATTAAGAGAAATATTGCAGCCATGTTCCATTAGAATGTCAAATCTAATGAACTAATTATATCTCCTAAATTGCTGTGTTAGGGAGGATGCCAAAGCCCAGTCCCAGCCCAGTTGAAGGGGGAATCCAGATTTAAGGATATATACCTTGAACCCAGCATTGAAAATTGATGGTTAATATGTCAAATATTTGTCATCTTCAGATTTATTGGTTTAACTTGATTGAGAATATGTATATTGCACCTCTGTTCAATCAAAAAATATCTGGTGGCAGTAATATTTTGTGTTAAATTTCTACTTATTTACTTACATAGTAAATATATTGAGAGGGAGCAGGAATAAGCAATTATATGTAATGCAAGGTAAGAAGTGATAAGTGGCAAGTATTAAGCTAAAAGAACAAAAAAGGCACATTATTCCTTAATTAAAATTAAACAATTTACAGTGCTCTGTCTGCAATTTGATGGTTGACCCCTAAAGGTATATTCAGCATTTGAGACTCATTTGCCTTTTAAAAGTAGATAAAGTTGCAATTATACATAAGCCATAGGCAGAGTCAAGAGAAAGTGGAAAAAAAAAAAAAGAAAAGGAAAGGGGGAAATACAAAAAACTCCACAGGAGACAATTGAGAAAACTAGGTGGAAAAATAAGGAAAAAGGTGGAGGACTCAAGAAAAGGTCACCAACAATTCTTGAGGACATTCAACAACCACCCAGAAGTGTCAATGTTAATCTCCATGATGTCTGCTTTAACTTCTTCTGGACACCTCCTGAGTTCTTTTTATTCTTGAAATTATAATTAGGACAGCACAAAGAAATGATGGTTCCAGATCTTATTTGACCTTGCCTAGTCTATACTGCCAATATTATTAATATTGAAGTCAATTTTCAAAATCGTAGCAACAAAACAACTTCTTGTTGAATGAAGGAACCACTCTGAAATAACTCATACTAAAGATTAATTATAAAATTGGGAAGCCCCCTTTGATTTAAAATTTCACCATTAGATGATATCACCTATTATTTTTAAAACTAGAATATTTTGCCATTGTATCTTATTGAAATAAGCATAACAGAGGGCTAAAATATTTTCTATTATCTTCATTTTTCTCTTTTCTAAACTGCCACACATTGAAATTGATTAGGCTAGAACAGAATGAAAATATAAAACTGCATGGTCTTTTCTTTCTAGCATTTTTGTTTCTGCTATGTGTGCGTGTTTGTACATCAGACTTCACAGTTATTCACAGTTTTTCTTTATGGGTTGCATACAGTTTAAAAGTCACCACTTTAACTTTCTTAATGCTTATTGCCCATTCACTATTTAATAGAATCATTATAATTCTATTTATGAAAGGATGCAAATTGTTATTGAGAACAACGACAATACAATTATTCTAATGAAATTGTTTAAAAAATAAAGTTTGTGTCTACACTCATTTTCTCAAACCAAATCTCAACTAAAACAAAGCATAATGACACACAGAATTGCTCTGGTTGGAGCTGGGGTCTGCCCCCATTACCTTTGAGTCTCCTGGGGAAAAATTGTTCACAGCACCTGCTTCAGTTCTAATATCCTCCAAAGGGATGTCTGTAATTTATAATAAGTTGGACTCTATTGTTCCACCTTTAAAATAAGGACACTATAACTCCATTATGCTCACAGCCAAAGAGTGATCATAAATTACATAGCAGATCTCATCTCCCAAGTTCCTAAGTTCTTTCTCAGCTTTCTCAGACATTGCTTCGTAGCTACTCAATGTTTTACCAATCACAACAAAGGGTCTTAAAAATGTGTCAAGTGCCACTAGAACATTTATATTCCTTCACCCTTTCTTGATGAAATTCAGGGACTGATGTTATAGCAATAACACAGGGAAAACATGATGTACTCCGTCTCTGAAGAATATCTCATCCTACTATTTTAGGTTCATTCCTTCAGATGAGTGTCTGTATTCCATTAAAATGTGAAAAAATTGAGAACCATAGTCACATGAATGCATAACATAGATCTTCATGAGAAGCTTTTTTTCCCCTAGAGAGTATGGAGGTAAATATAATGGTACTAGATGCCTAAAAGAAAAGCAATAAAATAGTACCCAGTGTGATGAACCCCACAGGAAAGGGAAAAATTTAGCATTTGTCTGCTACTTATTGGTGATGAGTCTATTTTTTACAATACCTTGCATTTTGCATTTTGCTTAGTAGTTTGTGAAACCACCTCATCTATTGATCCCATTTGATCCTGTAATATTCATATTCCATATTTGGTTGTTCTTTTTTTAAAAAGATTTTTTTTTTGAGAGGTAGAGTTAGAGAAAGAGAGAAAACAGAGAAACAGAGAGAACTTTCATCTGCTAGTTCACTTCCCAGATAATTGCAATGGCCAGAGCTGGGCTGATCTGAAGCCATGAGCCAGGAGCTGGGAATGAACTTTGACTTTCTGTGTTCTTTTAGGTGTATCTGCCTACCCACCTTGCAGTGATAAAAAAGCAAATTTGAGCATCATGAAATAAGTACATAAGATATCCCAACTCCAGTCACTAGAAACAAGAGGCCAATAAACTCTTTGAAGAATAACAGGATATATCACTGACCATTACATTTGCCTTAAATTTTGCAGTTCATTAAACTGTTCCCTAGTGGCCAGCAGGCAGGTAATGTAGCATGCTTATTCCACAGTGATGGTAGGTCTTTCTCAAGGGAGACTGATTTAAAAAAAAAAATGAACACAAAGTATCAGTATTATTGCATGTCCTTTAGGTACAAGATATTTCAACATAGCTATTAATGACAAGGGAAACATTGCTACCAACATTTGACAGAAAAACATATTTATCAACAGTGAAAATCACTGAGTAAACAAGCAGTTTATAGCCTTGTTAACACGGGGTGAAAATTTATCTCCAACTTTAGCACAGTATTTTTATTTCCCTGGTTGAAAAACAGCTACAAGAAAAAGATAATGGACATATTTGATCATTAGTTGACACTACTGAGAATGGCAGAGGAAACATGAAAATGAATAAACATTGTACATCTTTAAATAACATTCTGAAGATGTGACCTTGCAAATCAAATAACATTTACTCAAGGGCACTGTTAAAAGTGTTTACTAAAAATGTTGCATCTGTTCTTGGTCCAGAAGGAAGTTTACTTAATGGCTACATTCACTGGTACTAGGTTTGCTTTGTTAATTCCACTTGATTTGTGGTTTTATTTTCTGCTATTTTGAGTTAGCATTGTGAGATTTCTGATGTATCCTATTAGGGCTATTAAGAGTACTGTCTCAATGATTCTCATAAATCATTACGGTCCGAGGGAAAATACAGCATGCCAAATGGAGTTTTTGTTAGAACTATAGAGTTTTTAAAAAAAATTCTTAAATATTGTCAAAATTATCTAAACTCAGCCCAGACTGCTAAGGAAGGGAAGGCAACTGCACAATTTGATGACAGGGTCCAACAACCAATTTCCAGCTCCTCTCTGGGTAATTTGCCCTTTAGTTCACTGTTACATGAAATTGAAGACTTAGAGTTTCTTTTTGTTAAATAT